TCCAAAGGATACGACTTTGTTCCTCTTAAACATGAACATTATTTGAATTAATAAGGAACAAAACTCACCATTACTCAAGTCCTAACAGTCAGGGGCTTTTGCCGCTAGCCTCCTTGATGAGTAGCTGATGTTCGCAAAATTGAGGTAGATACGAAACACAATTTGTGATTTTAATGGTTGTTAGTTGGACTTTTCTTGGAGCAGGGATGTTCCTATGAAGGATGCCATCGTCCTTTGTGAAAAACTGCTATTATCAACCACAAGGTCCAGCATAAAACTGAATTGATATACATTTTGAATTTGAACACAATATCACATTTGATCAGTTAAATCCCACGGTCCTGCCTGCTAATGTCTTCCTCTGTCTGAAATAATCATTGTTAGAAAATGACTGAATCAGGTTGCACTTCTATTAAGTCAAAGTCAAAGTCAACTTTATTGTCAATCTCAAAATATGTTTGTACACACATAAAGATCAAAATACTGTTTCCCACAGCCCCGAGGTATAACAAAACTCACACATTAAAATGCAAAAACACAAAATAACCATTTACTTCAAGAACTACTTACTTAAAACATGCCAGAATAAAAAAGCTCCCAGGCAGAGCGACAGTTCTCGTCAGAGTTTTACAGCCACATGCTAAGCAACTTGGCACAATAGTTTTTCCCCAAGAGACGGAGGTTCATTTAAAGATCACCAAATGAGTTTTTAATGACAGAAAACAAAATTTATTTAATCAAGATTAAGACGTTGAACTCCTCCATGTCAACATAACAGTGTCAGCTTTCATTTCAGTATTTATTCATTACATAAAGAAACTCAGGATGTAGTGTGAGATTTCTTCTCTTTAGTCGGCTCAGGGTTTTAATTAATTTGACCGTGACAGAGATTGAATATTAAGCCTCTCATTAGTGTTGGCAGAACATAAATGAGTTTGAATAAATGACCTGCTTAATCACAGCTGCTATTTAACACCTTTGAGGAACATTTAAAAGGTGTTGCAGGTGGCGACTTTAGAGACAAAGAATGAGGGATAATGTATAGGGAGCATATAAGAGAAAGTTCAACACCTTCTTAAATCTGGCCTCTCCTCAGGTTATTATATTACAAATGTTTGCCTTTTTGCGCTAAAACCAAAATAGTCCATTAACCTTTGAACCTGCAGCCACTGAAGCTCCACTCTGATTCAGGAGAGTCATTAGCCTCTCCATTAACTCTCCACACTCAGCAATTCAAAAAGCCCGTGGACTAAACAGCCATGTCTTCAATTACTGAGAAGCAGTTCATTACAGCAGAGCGAATCACTTCCTCCTAATGCTCGGCTCACAGAGAAAGTCACAATTCAAACACAGCTGTGCAGGTCAAACATGACGAGCCTGAACCAACAGATGACTGGTGACATTTTGATGGCGCAGAGACGGACCTGAGCTCTGAGGAAGGTTTCAGCTCACAGATAAAAATGACAAATTGTCGTATGATTGCTTGACCTTTCGTTGCAAAGTGCTGGTGGGAAATGAGGTGCTTAACCTACGCTGTGTCGGACTGAGCTTTAGTGTTGGTGTGGATTGAGTCAAGGCTTAGCAGGGATTTAGAAGGGGTTGATGTTTAAAGAGCAACACGTTTTTTTTCCTACAAGGAGATTGCTGAACAGGGTTTCATTAAATAAATTCATATAACAATCCAAACGTGTACCATAACCTCCCATTCTCTCACTTGTGTTCATGGCTGTGATGAGTTTTGTTTAGCATTTAGAGTAGCACATTCACGTTTTATATTAAAGGTCATGCAGGTATGTAGTCCAATATGAGGATTTTGAAACAAGGGATTTCATATTTAGTATATTATACTGACTGTCCACCATGTTATGTGAGTGTCCAATGTATTAGCGTGAAAGTTACGCTTTATAATGCACAGAAAAAAATAAAAAGAAGTGGTTGTTATATAGAAGACTCTGACGCTGAAGACAGACTGTTAATACATTTGTTGAGGTGCTTTTTCTCTTGACTTGCATATATTGCAGCTGGCCTTACAAAGTAAACACTGTTACATGCAGAATGCACACAGTTGTAACATACAGTGCTATTGTTAAATATGTTCGTTATTCTCGCGTCCAGGAGAGAAGCTTTAAAATGAGACTAAATGGAGTCTATGAGAAGATTAAAATGGGATACTTTAATTAAAAAAGGCGCGGTAGTGTTACAGACAGAATATTGTTCAAGCAGAAAACAGCTCTGATCTGGCTCTCATGAGCAAGAGAAGAGAGAGAATCCCTCGTCCGGTGCTGTTATATATCCTCTGTCTGAATACGGCCTCTAATGTCCGTTGTTGCATTTAAACAGAGGATTGGTACTTTTCACATCCAACATATGCTTAACACGCCTTTTCTCCTCATATTCTCTTTCATCACTTTTCATGTAACATATTCTAAACGCTGTAATCAATACTCTAAAAAATACAGAAAATACTTCACGGCTGGTTTGGTTTCCGGTCATTCCGGATGTTGTCACATGCTACTCTCGTCTGTAAACAATAATGTATTCAAATAAACTGTACCTTCATTTAATATTCAGCATGGTAGTATCTCGACATCTATAGTTGTAGCGTTANATATCACAGCTAAGGGGCGTGGTTCGGCCCGACGCGAAGCGGAGGGTCGACAACCCCCTTAGCTGTGATATAATGAGCCTCACTTCAGGCCGTGATATATGCTCATTATATCACAGCTAAGGGGGTTGTCGACCCTCCGCTTCGCGTCGGGCCGAACCACGCCCCTTAGCTGTGATATAATGAGCATATACCACGGCCTGTCGTGAGCTATTGCTTAAATATATACGTGTGTATATGGTTGTTTAGATGTGTATGCATGTATATATATAAATATGTGTAGATTTTTTGTATATATTAGTATTCTTTGGGACGGTGAGAGACAGCATTTAGATCTCATTGGTTATTTGACTTGCCTGAAGCCGGTCTTTCACACTCCTCACCCCACAGCATGAGCAGAGACATACCACAGGAAGCAAGCAGCACTTTAAAGACGTATCACTTACAGACATATCTAACACAGGTCCTCACTCTGGTTCTGAGTAAAGGCAAAGAGAACATCATGCAGCCCCAAGGTCAACACGAGGGACAGTGAGGTGAAGCTGAGAGGACAGAGGACAGAGGCTGAGAGGACAGAGGCTGAGAGGACAGGCTGAGAGGATAGAGGCTGGGAGGGCAGAGGCTGAGAGAACAGAGGCTGAGAGGACAGAGGCTGAGAGGACAGAGGATGAGAGGATAGAGGCTGAGAGGACAGAGGCTGAGAGGACAGAGGCTGAGAGGACAGAGGATGAGAGGACAGGCTGAGAGGATAGAGGCTGAGAGGACTTCTGCAATCTGCCAAACTTGAGCTCCAAAATGCTGATGACTTCATTTTGAAGGTGCAGTTCCCATCGCNTGAGAGGACAGGCTGAGAGGATAGAGGCTGAGAGGACAGGGGATGAGAGGACAGAGGCTGAGAGGACAGAGGCTGAGAGGACAGAGGCTGAGAGGATAGAGGCTGAGAGGACAGAGGCTGAGAGGAGAGGCTGAGAGGACAGAGGCTGAGAGGACAGAGGCTGAGAGGACAGAGGCTGAGAGGACAGGCTGAGAGGACAGAGGCTGAGAGGACAGAGGCTGAGAGGACAGGCTGAGAGGAAAGAGGCTGAGAGGGCAGGCTGAGAGGAAAGAGGCTGAGAGGACAGAGGCTGAGAGGACAGGCTGAGAGGACAGAGGCTGAGAGGATAGAGGCTGAGAGGACAAGCTGAGAAGATAGAGGCTGAGAGGACAGAGGCTGAGAGGACAGAGGCTGAGAGGACAGGCTGAGAGGAAAGAGGCTGAGAGGACAGAGGCTGAGAGGACAGGCTGAGAGGACAGAGGATGAGAGGACAGAGGCTGAGAGGATAGAGGCTGAGAGGACAGAAGACAGAGGCTGAGAGGACAGGCTGAGAGGACAGAGGCTGAGAGGATAGAGGCTGAGAGGGGACAGAGGCTGAGGGGACAGAGGCTGAAAGGAGAGAGAGGACAGAGGCTGAGAGGACAGAGAGGACAGAGGCTGAGAGGAAAAAGGGGACAGAGGACTGAGAGGACAGAGGCTGAGAGAGGGAGCAGACGGAGGAAGGCCTGCAATGCAGCTGCACCACAGAAGAACAGACAGAGGCACCTGCTCGCGTTTCTCGCCTCCCGCCTGTTCCCTCTCTCTCCCTCCCTCTCTCTCTCTCTCTCTCTCTGCGGTTGCAGACTTACAGAGAGGCACCTGCTCACGTTTCTCTCTCTCTCTCTCTCTCTCTCTCTCTCTCTCTCTCTCTCTCTCTCTCTCTCTCTCTCTCTCTCTCTCTCTCTCTCTCTCTGCGGTTGCAGACATTTCTCTTTTCCCCCTGTGGTTGTCATATTGAAAGATCTCACTTCATTTGTCAACCCGATAGAGACATGTTGGAGGTTTTTCTTTGCCAATACACTCGTTTTGCGAGCTGCTTGAGGCTTGATTGCGAAACTACAACCCAATGTTAGGAGGTGAGAAACAACTATTGAAACAGTTGTTTGTGTGCATGCCCCTTAAGTCAGCCATTTACTGAAACTGGTGTCTTTTATTCACTGAGTTTAAATCCAAACATACGAAGTGTGAATGGGGAATTGTAAAGTGCATGTTTCTCAGTATCCAACGATTAAACCATGCATGGTAACTTATACCCACCTATGACACATTTCTGGCAGAGAATTGAGGACAGTGGAGACTCTGCGGTGTGTGCAGGTATGAGGCTTTGCCCTCAATTCCTGTTTGGCAAGAGATGGAGGCCAGCAGAGACAGACAAACAACTAGCTTAGACATGACTTACGATCATTTGCAAAAATGGAATTCTGTATTTAAGCGTTAATGCACAGCAAAAAGCACACGTGATGTAAACATAACATAAAGACAGCAGCATAGACAACAGTTAGGTATCGTTTTCATGTTCCAAAGCTTTCCAGCTGCTCTTACCGGTGAACTTCTGTGGCATGGAGCTCTTCCGTTTGGCTACGTTGCTGGCCAGCCTGTCGAGCAGCAAAGCCCGTTCGCTGCCCATCTGAGTCCTGGATGTGTGGCCGTCCTCTGCAATAGTGGGACAGAGTAAGTGCAACGAGGAAAACCAGACCTCTTCTCGATCAGAAGAGAAGTGCACCAAGCGGCAACTGTCCACCAAGCTTTAGAGGTAATAAAGTGAAGTAGAAAGACGGCAGCGGCACCACGCTGAGTCACACTAGGAGGAAGGAGATATTAATTTAAGATCAGACGCTCCTTTGACCTCACTTCCTGGTGGGGTTTTTTACTTCACCAGTGCAGGAAAACAGACCACAGGATGAGGATGTACTTCCTCACCACGACGGTACTATCAGACATAAGCTTACGACATTTGGCGACCGCAGCAGAGCATCGTCTGTGTGTTGCAACCGTGCAACTGTCCTGCCCTAGGTACAGGTCTTTTGGGGGAAGGTTACAGACACGTGCGTGTGTTGGGTGGCCGGGCTGAACACATTTGCCCTACATATTTAGCCGCTGCACACATTTGAAGCGGTCGTCACACCACAGCAGCCATAACCTATTTAGTTTAATTATGGGGTAACAGCCGTAAGCTCACTTATTTAATGAGGCTATAAAAACAGGATCTGCTAGCAACAACTGCTCAAATTGGGCGCTCCATATGTGCAAATGAGTCTGAGCAGTAGTCTAACAGTCAGATGTGTGAAGTGAGTGTTTGGAGTTCCATAGTGCTCAGAAGTGCTCAGAGGTGGGAGAAGTACCATCACCATTTACCTCTGAATTGTAATGGGGTAGAAGGACAAAGTAACAAAACATTGAAAATACTCAAGTTTATACCACTGGGTGTGCTCACCTCTCTCTGCGGGGCCTTTGCTCTGGATGTACACATGGCATCTCTCCCGGTGTTCTTCGAGGCTACTGCGCTGCTTGTAGCTGCGACTGCAGTGGTTGCACTTGAAGGGTTTCTCTACTGTGAGCGGGAGTTTCAGTTAATCACCAACACACGAAACATAAACACTGCCTACAGCGAGGATTATTTCCTTGAGTATGTGGTTTCGTACAAAAGTGATGATGTGCACATTAGAGAGCGTGTCTGCAGGTGAAAAACGTGAACTGAAAGTGAGTGAGTACGTTTCCTGAGGTGAGTGAGTAAGATGTCATATGTAATGTGTGTAAGCCTGTGGCACATATTACTGGAAGAGCAATGCGGCCTCAGCTCATGTGTCGACATTTGTGAGAAACGAACCAGCGAAATATTATACACAGGTGCATACAGTATCAGTGCATATGAGCACAGCTGGCAGTGTGTGTGTGTGTGTGTGTGTGTGTGTGTGTGTGTGTATGGCTGGTACCAGAATGTGTGCGCAGGTGCCCGCTCAGAGCATCCCGCCTGCGGCAGGCGTAGCTGCACATGGGGCATTTGAAAGGCTTCTCCCCGGAGTGCAGTTTGATGTGGCGCAGCAGGTTTCCCTTCTGCGTGAAGGAGGCGCCGCACTGACTGCAGTGGAACGGCCTCTCACCTGAAGGGGGGAAAATGAACTCTGAAAAACAATCCAGAAATCATGAAAACATCTACCTTTTAGCTTAGTGAGACAATGTTGCCAGGATGTGGACAGTTGAATCGCAATATCTTCAAGTCTTTTAGTGGTTCCCAGATTCCACAAAACTAGTGTTCAGATCCCAAGCTCCCTTTCTCTGGAACCAACTTCCTGTTTTTATTAGGGAGGCAGACAGTGTCCACGATATTAAGAGTGTGTTGAAGCCTCTCCTGTTTAATAAAGCCTATATCATGTTTTTTATAATTGACACTGTCAACTATGTTTTGTATTCTGTAAAGCCCACTGAGACAAATGTGTTTTGTGATATTGCGGTATATAAATCAACTTTGATTTGATATCTTCTGGTCATGTGTAAAAGTACAGGCATTTTCGCTCAGGGTTATTCAGATTCATGGAGAAATGTTAAGTTATAAGAGTACCTGTGACTCGTATACTTGAAAAGGAACTCGGGGGTAAAAAGGCCATCACAAGTGTTTAGAAGAAATGTATACTATGGAAAGACTGACATACAATCTAAGGAATAAAGCAGAGATCTGTGGACAACGCACGGACTGTATACAAGTACAAAAAAAGGCTGTAAATGTGGAGTAGTGTGGCCCCCTGTTTTATCTATTCTGTTATTCTTTTCAGTTTCCATGTATTTGTGAGTGTTATGCGTTTGTCAGTTGAAAAATAAAGATTTCTTGTAAATGATCTGTTGCTGCAGAAACACTAAGCTGGTGTTTACAACTTCCCTCAAGTGGAAATGTTCTGATACCAGATGTTGATATTCGTAGAAATTCAGTTTTGTCCTTTAGCTATCAACCCTTTACTTGTTCCTATTATAACAGTGAATTGCAAAAAAACGCAGAATCATTCACCATCTTTGAAAAGGGAACAAGGCAACATTACCTTGATTGTTAGAAACCCAGAAACAATGTTCTCACGACTCAAACCACTCCAAGCACATCGTGCACTCACCTCCTCAGATCCATCTGACGGCGGCATTATTGAACGAGTCAACTCTACTCATCGTTTGACTGACTGATGAGTCGACTGTCAATACACGACGTGTGTCTGACAATAACTCCATATCTCTCCACAGTGACACATATTCCTTCATGAGGGTGGACAGTCGGCTGACCATGACAGAAAATGTAAGAAAACTGTATTTTTGTTTAATAAATCAGGTGTCCACCTACTCCATTAAAAAAAGAAATGTATTTAAAATAAAGAAGAATTAAAGTAGCCTAAATATAAACCATAACGAAAATGTATTCAGTACCTATAATATATCCATCTATAGTTCAAAAATGTATTGTAACACTGTAATCCTGCTAGTAATGAAATGTAACACTAATCTGCTTACTTCTTTTTGAATGTAATTGTAATCAAATACAGATACCTTTTTTTGTAACCTGATTAAGTAATCTGAGCTATAGACTGTTGATGTGTTGATGTATCTGTCCACAAATCACACACTTATTGCCTTATTGCTTCATATTGGGAGGATATTTCACATCCTACAGCTGCAGCCCTGGTTAGGACAGTGCGTCATGCGTGATGCAGACTTCAAAACCTCCATCAACGTCTTGACCTAGTCAACGCCAGCCACTATCTCCCAGTGCTATCAACAGGGTGACGATTGCACAACGGTTGTGTTTGAGGTCAGGTGCTGGGGCTGTGTTCCTGTGCTTACCCGTGTGGCTGCGCTTGTGCACCAGCAGAACGTTGATGCTGACGCAGGACAGGCCACAGATGTCACAGTTGAGCTTGCCGGCTGCAGGGATGCGGGGGGCCACAGCTCCAGGCACGTAGGTCCCTTCTGCTGCGTGGGCGTCATACCGCGAGTAGTCCACCAGAGACAGGTCCTGGGGCTCGTTAGGGGCGTCCCCTTCGTCCTCCTCGTCCTCGTCCTCCTCAGTCCTCTCCTCGTCGAATCCTTCCTCTGTCCCGTCATCACTGCCCCCCTCTGCTTCCTCTTTCAGCGCAAACAGTCTTTCCTTTTCATCCTTGGGGTACTGCTCCTCATCTTCCATCTCCTCTGCCTCTGTCTTAATCACATCTAAGCGAGGAGGCAGCAAAGAGTAGAGACATTTGATGAAAACAGTAAACGCACATGAAGTGATTGATTTAAGGAGTCATGTACATACACTTGTTTTTTACTTCCAAATAAGGCACTGAATGAGCTCTGAACTCCAACCAGAATGCAAACTGCCGCTGTCACATCTCCACTTCTACATTTGTATTTATAGTCGATATGTTGATAATAGCACTAGCACGTCTCCAGAGTGTGGGTAGCTTAATTTGGGCCGACGTATAGTGTCACAAAAGAGATTCAGAAGATGTGTGCTCGAGATAAGGGGAAGGCATTTCCTCTGAAGACAGAAAGTAGAACCAGGGCAGGAGAGAGAGCAGCAGGCGCCTCACGCAGACAACACCAATCCCTGATCTGCTTTTAGAAACAACATTTCACATTGATTGTATCACAGATGCTGAAAAACGTTCCAAATCAAACTTTATCCGCACCAAAGTTGATCCCTTTTTTCTTCCATCAGCAGGCAAAGCGTTACATTTTCTTCATTCATAAGTGTTTCTTGACCTACTGTTGGACAGAGGTGAGAGGTAACTAAGTACATTTACTCAAGTACTGTACTTCCATTTTGAGATGAATGTACTTTACCTTAGTACTTCCATTGTTGTACTTCTACCCCACTACAATTCAGAGGTACATGGTGTACTTCTACTCCCCTACATGTATTTAATACCTTTAGTTACTTTACAGATGTGGATGAATGATGTGAAATATAATCAAGTGTTAAATCAGACTTTAGTTCCACCTGGAGTAAATTCACAAGCTACCCTGCAGTATACAAAGTCATTCAAACTAGCTGCACCTTTACCAGCTTTGAGAACACTTTCATGATCAATCATTATAAAACATATCATATCTATTATTCTGAAATGGACCAATCTGCACAATGACTACTTTTACTGTCGCTACTTTCACTATATTTTGATGATAATACTTTTATACTTTTACTTGAGGAACATTTTGAATGCAGGACTTTTACTGTAACAGAGTATTCCTACACTCTGGTACTTCTACTTTTACTCAAGTACAAGATCTAAGTACTTCTACTTCTACTTTTACTCAAGTACAACATCTGAGTACTTCTCCCACCCTGCTGCTCTCAGGCTGCATGACCCCTCACCCAGCCTGTTGCTGGCTCTCTCAGCTCCATCCATAAACCACAGTGTGGTCGGTGGTGGCTGGTGATGAGCTGAAGATCAGCGCCTTGTATTGTGGAAAGCGCTCAGAGGTGCTATGGAAACTTTGCACACACAGAGCTCGGGGGGCCCGATATAGAGTCCAGGGTCTGAGAGCAGTGAACCGCAGGCTGCGCAGCGACGTTGAGCAGGGCTTTAGGAAGCACCCAGTGGGGCAGAGAGGTGGCAGAAATAAAAAGGACAAATAAGAGCAACAAGTCTAGGTATAAACGTATTACACTCAGAACATTGTGTGAAACAAAGTGGTCACAGTTTAGAAATGAGTATTTAATAGTAACTCTGTTTTCATTTGTATCTTATTCACATGTTTAGATAGCATCTATCTCTGCTTTTTACTTGTACCATTCTCTTGCACTATTTAATTTATACTTTTACATTCACAATTTTAAATAATTTTGATGTCTTAAATATTGCATGTAGCATTGTATGAGGAGCCTAGGACTTAAAAATGTCATTGCCAACAATTGTGCCGTAGTTACTATGCATATGACAATAAAGCCTTTGAATCTGGAATTTAATCTTTGAAAAGTAGTCCTTCATGGTGTGAGGTTTGTATGCGAAGAAATGCCCATAATATGTAGCATATTACATTATATAATTAGGATGTATGCTTTATCATCAAATACATGACACTGCAGTGAGGAAGTTCAACATTAGATACAATAAAGTACCCAGCCAAATTGAAATAAACAACCCTCTATACGGCTGACAGCCTTGTAATGGAAAGCTTTCAAAGTGAAATAGTCCAAAAATGTAGGTGAAACATTTTTTTTTTACACTTATATATTTGATTTCAAAGGCGCACATTCAAGGTAGTTACATTTATATTATATATCACAGCTAATCATTTATTTTGAGGAACACGGAATAGAAAATGTTTGTAGTAATTGAAAAAGTTGAAAGAGGCCCCTTGGCGCCCTAAGCTATTGCCTACTTATGATTTAAGGTAAAGCTGCCTATATAGACACTGGTCTTCTTTTACTGCTGTAACTCCATACTTATAGTGTTTAAAGTGTTAAATAGAGCCATTTTCTAATTGCTTTGCATTGAATGAACCCCCATGCTGAAAAGTATATGAGTATTTAAGTATTTACTTTTACCCCAGGATAACTAGGGCAACTGAGAGCTTAATGACTCCTCTCCTGTCTATCCGGTTGGATCATACAAATGCTTTTTACTTTAAGATCCTGTCCATAATGTGTAATCTCTCTCTAGTTGATCATAAGGAATTGCATTTGTCTTAGATTAAAACGATCTTTTTCCATTTTTAATTGAAGTCAAATGAAATTCTTTGTAAAGGAATAGCCCATTAATGCACCGCGGCCAAAAACAGGAACATTTTGTATTTATTCTGCTCGACTATTATCTTTAACAAACAGCAGCATTTATTCTCAGGGTTTATATCAGCTCCTCACAAAGATGCTAGACGGTGTTAGCTTGATGGCTAAAATACTAATTGTGTGTGTGTGTGTGTGTGTGTGTGTGTGTGTGTGTGTGTGTGTGTGTGTGTGTGTGGGTGGGTGGGGGGTTACTTACGTGGATCCGTCACACCTTCAGCACCCTGCATTCCATTCTCACTGAATGACTGATCTTCCCTCTCTTCTTCCTCCTGTGGCTTCACATCTGCAACATCACTGCAAACCTCTGCAGAGTGACACATGCAGGCGCTTCGTGTTACTTTTTGTTTCATTGGGACAACTTCAGTCAACTACAGAGCTCTGTTACAATAATGGAATGTTAAAGTCAGTGATGGCTGGACGATGGCAGCCTGATCACGTTCACATCACACTTCATGAAGACAAGGAGACGCACTCACCCATCCCGCTGCCCTCGGTAAACTCAGGGTCCTTCTCTGTGTTCATGATGAAGAAAGGTTCTGTGGAGTAATGACACTATTTGGTTAATAAGATCAGATTACTACCAAATTACCAAATTGCAAGAATACCTTGTTACAAGTAAAGATACATTCCAGAATCATGTATATTATACTTTATATTACTGGACTATGATTATTGATGCATTATTGTGTCTCTCACAGCTAGTAAATGTGGAGCCAATGTTAATGACTTTATTCACAGCTGCTAGATATTGTAACTATTAAATATATGTCAGTCTTTATCTAATAATTGATTTACTACAATGTTGGCTTCTAAACTTTAGTGGAGTAGAAGTATAAAGTGGCATCACAAGAAAATGTTCAGGTCAACTACAAGTACCTCAATATTGTACTCGAGTTAATGTACTTTGTTACTTTCCACCACTTAATAAAATATAGTTTAATTAGATTAAAACAGTTCCTTCTTATGGTGTTTTCCTAACTACATCTATATGACTTTAAAACTATAAGAACTTTGTATTTCACAAATTGATACTAAAATATCTTCTGGCCACTATTAAAAAGGCTCCCTTACTATTTCTACAAAGCATGTGAAGAAATAGAAGCAGTGGTTGCATCTTGTGTTCCTGTTGGTTGGACGGCATAAAAAGAAGTTTATAAAAAAGCAATGAGGGTAAAAGCCCACGGTTGATTGCTCGACCCTGTCACTACATTTAGCCTGATGAGAACGAGATGATGTTCACTGCACATGCACTTCCTGCCGGGTCTGAACATAGGAGCATGTGTGAAAGTCGCTTTCAGCGGCAACACACAGCGACTTTGAACAAAAAAGCCACTTTAAAAACCTTGAGTCAGTTTTCATGAACCATTACGAATCCCAGCATATGAATACTTTACAATTTATATTACACATTTAAAAGGAATAAAAATGGCAAAGAAACATAGATTCTATACTTTTGAGAACTACTCAAACATCATTCAGTGAAGAAAACACATCAATAACAAACTTTTTTATACCTCAAAATAACATTTAGAAAACGCTTATCTACACTTTTTTGATATTATAGTTTGTTGGAATATAGCAGTAAGTTTGAGTAAGGATGAAAGGATCTGACCTGCGTTGGCTCAGCACCCGGAGGAGACTGCTCTGGCAGGAGGAGATTCCACGCTCCGCCACTGGACTTCTCTGAATATGGAATATACGCAACGTCACTACGGTGAATTTTGGAGACAACCCTTAAAGGAACATGAACTTATTTTGAATGCAACAAAGACAGAACGAAACATGTTAAAATAGCCACATCAAGGATTCAGATTCTCCCTTACTATTTCTATGATAAAAACCTATAGATTCCTTTCTCTTCCTACACAGTCGCGTCTATAACAGCGTGAGTTTATGAGTGAAACAAAGAGCTGGTTATGAGTTCTTTATCAGTTCAGGCACATGGTTCCTTACCTGTTTCCATTCAAAGAGCTATCACTCCATCTTGTGGCCAAACTAGAAAGCTACTTTCCAACTGTTCTCTCTAAAATAGTGTCTTTCGTCAAAAGCATCTGCCACATACAGTACATGTACTGTTTTATTGTATTTGACCCATATTTAAAGGGACACATTGTGATCAACAAGCTCTTTTACAAGGGCGACCTGGCCAGGATAACGGTATAAGAAGTTATAGCAATAATAACCAAAAAAAAGAAATACGTTGTGCAAATGTGTGATGGCAGTCTATCCATAAAGGCTTTACAATAAGTAGTAATGACTAACAGAGGCATACCAGCCCGGATGTAAAGAGCACAATGATAAGTTGAGCTCATAGGACTGGATTGTACATCACTTTTTGTAATTGGCACTTTCTTGATGTTGTGAGTGGATGTAGGTTAACACTTCATTCATCAGGTGGGCCCCCTCCTCCACTCTTACCCTTTCCTCTTGATCACCTTGCAGATCAGTAGGGATCCTTTTCTTAATCACAGTTTTTTAGACAGTTGCTGCTCGGTCTGCAGCCTCAGAGGGTCTGTTCTCTAAAGGCCCAGATACACCGGCCCGAAATCGGCAGTAAATGGGAGTCGGGCCGAACATGAGCGTGGGCACGCCCTATTCGGAGTGGTGTGCGCTGCACCGTCGGGTCTTTTCTGCCGACCTGACGCCTTTTCTTGCCGATTCAACATGTTGACATCGGCGTCGGGAAACACCACCGGAAGTCGGACAAAGGGATAACACTGATTGGCTGTTCAGCTAGCGAATCAGTGCATGAGAAGCGTTAACGGAAGTGAGGGAGGTAAACAAATGATTTAAAATGGAAGATGGAACACACACGGACGGCTATTTCACCTCATCGGTTTATAGAGCTCCTGTTCGTTCATGTTTTCAATGGACGAGAGTGAAAATGGAAAGAAAAACGCTATTTGTTGTTTGTTTATATCACGGAGTCTGTTCTTCTTCTCTGTCTTCNCAAAGTTAAAAGAACAGGAAATGTAAAATTTAATAAAGTGTCTGGAGGCGGGATGTAACTCTCAGGATAAACCCTGTAGTCGAAGTGCAACCTTATGGGCCAAACGCCTGTTTTATGGTCCCATCATCTTTGCAATGATTTCCTAAGGGAGACACTGTATTTTAAGTAGTATTCCAGAGCAAGATGCCTCTGGGAACGGAATATATTATGCGCTAGCTTATAATGAGGGAAATGGACACAGTGTTCAGTTGGCTACATTTCCACTTAATTCATTCCACTTTAAGTGCTCATCGCAGCGCAGAAAATCCTAAGAGCACAGTTAGGTTCAGCTGAACATACAAACATTACATATTTTAGTAGAGCCGTCAATTCATGCAAATACACGAAGACGATTTTCTAAATACTAATTGAACAGACATCACACAAGGGGGCGGTTCAGCGCTGATACCATACAAACCACAAAGCTAAAAGCTTCCTATAAAATAAATACTGTCTGACAAATAATGAAACAATGCGTTCTGATCTGAGTTCCTTTTTTTTTACTAGAGAAAGCAACTTTCTCCTTATTAGCTACTTGGATTTGGCAACATTTCCTATACTGTTGACCATCATGCTTCTCTACTCTAAAAGGAACAATGGGTAACGTAATGCTGTGACAAAAGGATTAGCAACAGCTGAGCGTATCATGCAAATGGACTCAGCGTATATTATTGGCGAAGCGCATAAGTCCTCTGCACTGTCTCCTGGGAGTTGATTCGAACCTAGAGTGCTGAGGCCTGCATGCGAGTGAATTACAACACCCTCTGTGCACAAATTTTTAATGATGAGCCTTCTGCAGGCGTAGAGCGGCTGTTGACCTGGTGGGCGTTTTGGAAGCAGAGGGCTCTTATGGTAATTATCAGGACAGAAGATCTGGAGGACATTCTTGTTTTTCTTCATACGCAGACAACCAAAAAGGCTTGCTTTCTCTGGCAAACGAATCCGAGCAGCTTTTTAGGCTAGTTCTTCCTTTGTATTCCCTCTGTGAAATCATCTGGTTTCTATTTCTTCACGGCAGATTTTGAGACTGCAATTCAGGTCTGGGGCAGTTTTTTAAATCGCTTTACCATATACATGTCATTCACGCCCATTCATATGTTTCAGTCAGAGCAAGTAGTACTTTACTCTAAGGCACCTTTGACATTCACGACACTTCACAATCCATTGGTCAATGCCATGGTGAGCAACTCGCGGGTTGATGTCATCTAATACCAAAGAGGATACATCGACATGAAAACAGACTGCAATAGGACTGCGGGATGCTAATCCAAAGGTCTTGGTTTGCATAGAGAGCATATCCTGCAGTCTACAGTCAAAAGCATCACTTGAGCTTGTCCAGTTTTGAAGAGCAGCACACTGGCCTGCCTTCAGCTGCCTTGTGGCTCAACACCTTTGGCAGTGTTCATATCAGGTGTTCCTCTGCCTGCTGGTTCCTTGGTGATAGTCTGCTTGGCCAGTAAAATGCCTTTCTGTCCTCATGACTCTCTCTTCAACGAGGTCCAGACTCACAGTTTCCTGCAGTGAGCAGCTTTGTTGTTCTGATTCCAACCCAGATTGATCTTTTCGATTAATTCCCTGCTCCAAGGAACTAGATGTGTGATTTTGCCTCCCTACAATTGTTTATAGCTCCACTGGAGAACACATTGCGACCACATAAAACACCAAGGTCCATTGGAAAGAGACACGGCGACTTTTCCTCTTGTGTTTCTTAGTCGCTTCTTCCTTTTCTTTCGTGTAACGTCAGAGGTCCGCACTCGGTGTCGTTTTAGCCATGCCCGCATCTCTTGGGTCCTAACGTCGAAGAAGGCTGGCTTCCGAGGGTGGTCTATATAAAGGGCAGGTGGGTGATTTGGGCAGTCTGTTCAGCCGTCACCCACACTCGCATGCAGCAACTGTCTGCAGGCCCCACTTCTTCATTGATGTTCTGAAGCGACCGAGACCCAGTTCGTAGACGGTTTAGTGTGGTCCATCATTGCCGGCGTGGTAGGTCGGTCCTCCTCATATGGCGCCAACTCCTGGGTTACCCAGATGTAGCGATGGATGCGGGAGGGGTCCGGCTTTCTCTACACTCCTGCTTCCAAGCAGGCCGCCAACCATTGCATCTCTGGAGAGGGTGCTCAGAGGTGGAATTGAGCATCTCTTGATAATAGTTGCTGTTCCTGTGGGTTTATGATGCTGCTTGTGGTGGAGATTTGGATGAATACTCATGCCTACATTACTTGTTTTAATTATCTCACTTAAACAAAGACTTTAAAAACTTAAATCCTTCATAGTGATGAGGTGTGTGTTTGTGAGTTGACTCGCATGCATTCTACATTAGTGTTTTACTTGGCAAGCAGCTATCATGATCAGACCATGTCTTCAAAAGGAAAGCTTTCCATAATATTCAAGGATTCTTTCTGTCCCTTTTAAAATTATATCATCATTTCTTTGGTAATCCAACCAAAGGAAATGAAACCTTCTCGAATGAATAACTTTCAATAGTACACTTCTTTGAAAGGAAAAGCATGAACTAGTTAGTATCAGAAATATAACAGCCCTCACAGCCTCACAGCTGGCAGTTAGCTGTGAGGTTTGTTTCCTGGCTGGGAATCCGTGTTCCAACAAATCGAATACGCTCCCAGTGTGAAGAGAAACTTCGGATGAAAGCCTCCACTAATCTGTGTTTTGTTGAAAACAAAACACAAGCTATTTGTTTTACCGTCTTAGGCCCTATTTTTGTCCTCAATCTCCCCTTTAAGGAGATATAAAAAAAGACAAAATAATGAAAAGCAGTGTCAACAAGAAAAGTCGAGGAGGGTGAAGGGAGAGAATGAGAAGCAGCAGACGCTGAAGGGGCCCGAGCGCTCTGCAGGAGGTGAAGAGGCACGTTGACTGCAGCCCTCTCATTATAAAGGGTCATTAGTGTTTCCCCTCCTCTGATTAATAACATCATTTAGATCAAAAGGCAACTTAACACAAGACCTCTGAATGATAGTTTAGAGACAACAAGGTCATCAGAGAGGCAGCTCTCTCACTGCAGCCAACACAACGTAACACTCTTTAATGGAGCTGCACAATCAATCCAAACATAATGGCAATGCTAGTGCAATATGCAAATCACAGCAATATGTTACAGATATGTCTAAATATTATTCTGGGATAAGTATTGTGTGTTGCATGTACAGTAGGTGTCACGGCCTACAAATCATATTCTACGGACTTCATCAAATGTCTCTTTTTGTTACAGATCATTTTCAAAATTCACACCAGGATCAGTTTCCAATATGTCTCTTATTAATTATGATAATTATGCAAAAATGATCAATCCCTCCAAAGCCATGAATCATATTTGCATTAGCAATATCAGTCAAAATTATCCCAATTAGTTTGTTCTTTTTAAATCGTGCA